ACCCGAAACTCTCCTGGAGATACCCCCTCTCCCTCTCTCCGCACGAGCCGAGGCCAGGGCTGCGGCCCGAGGCGGGGAAGACGCGCCTTTCTCCAATGCAGCGAGAGCTCCGCTGACTTTAGGGTCTATAGGGTCTCTAGGGTTTACGGAGTTTACGGAGTTTACGGTTTAGGGTGGCAGTTGCCAGCTCTTTGTTTCTGCAAACCCAACCGCAAAGCAAGCTTGGTGAAAAACCACAGTCTGCAGAGTCTGCGGCGCTGGGCAGCTGAGCTGGCCTTGCAGGACTAGGTTTTTTTTTTAAATTATGGCCAAGGGAGACCGGCGCGAATGCCGCGACTTCCCGACCAAGTTCAAAATTGATTCAACTCGCAGTGGTGTTGCTGTACCTGTACATCAACACTGTAACACTTCAGAAACCGTTCATAATGCAGGTCATGCAAGAAAAGTCACACAATAAATGCCCGGCAGTCACCTGACAATGCAGGTCTGAATTTGATTTGCGAAGCCCACATCGAGATCCTTCGCTGCCTGGTACACCATTCGATGGAACTCTGTGCTGCCATCCCTGAAATACTTCTCCAGGCCGAGAGTCGGGATGTCATCAACAGCGCAACAGCGAGCGAGCAGAACGGTGCGGTGTAGTGTTTGAAGATGCTTGGATGGCGTGAGGGCACTGAACAACCACGGGTCAACGTGTTGGCAGAATGCCCAGTGATCCAAGGAATGCACGACAGTCCCCAGGTAGTGGGCTTCACAGCTGCAGTTTGTTGGGAAATCTGGTTTGCAGTGATTGAAAGCCTGCCGAAAAGGGACCCTCAGCTGGATCATGAACTTCAGGAGCCTGGAATGCTCCGCCAGCTTCGCCACCAGCCTGTGCTCTGCAACTCCTGTGCGTAGAGACTCAACGAGGACCGCTTCAACAGCGGGTCCTGCATCCTTATGCACCATGTTGCTGGCCATGCGGGGGAAGTTAGTGAATCCATAATGGTTGTAGCAGGCTGTCACCACACTCATCTTTTGCAGGTATGGGCTGGTACTGTCCGCGGGGTCGATGCCCCAGTTGGCATAGGCATGCATCTTCCCGTGGTTCACATTGCTCTCGCAGTGGGTCAGCAGAACTGCCGCATCCATCAAGGCCAACGTCTCTCCATCAAGCTCCGCAGTCAGGAAGTCCTCCGTATCGAGGTTCAACTTCACCACCATCCTCTTCCTCACTTCGAAGCGCACCTTCGAATCGTCGCAGTCCACGTACATCGGGAAGGGGCTGTAGACAAAGGTGGCCACACGCCCCTCCGTGTCGTCAACGCGGGCCACGCCGGTGCACAGATTTTCCAACACCAGGTGGTAGATCCTGGGCTGCAAGTACAAACCTCAGAACCCTCGAAGCAAAGCAGCTTTTGTTGGCTTTCAACCCAGGAGCATGCGCCGCACCTTCTCTTCCGAGGCCTCTGGGAGCAAGCCGCAGAAGCTCAACAACCGAGACAGCTGGATCTGACACCATCCGCTTACCTGAGCAGGGCAGAAAAAAGCGGGAGCCAAGTCGGAAGTCGTATAAGCTTGTGGCAAGAACTTTGCATGTTGAACTAATGATGCTACGACAGGCCCTTCGACTGTGGTCGGCGATAGCCAATAGCCATACTACTGACAAGAAGGGAGAATCTAACCAAAGGTCTGATGAATGCTTAACTTGCTTTCTGACCCAAGCACCACCAAAGCAAAAGCTGGCAGAGCAATGCAATGGGCGGCCCAGAGATACTGCCACAAAGTCAAGTGCACGTGGTTCATGTCCATCATAAAGCTTTGGGCGCCTGTGACCGGACAGGAACCCTTGGATCCCAAGGTTTCTTGACCAAGTAGGACAGGACAGCCCGGAGATCTCTGCATCGCCGGGGGCCGGACCGTGGGGGGCCGTCCGTTGCTTGGGCTGGAAGGGTTGGAGCGCGAGGGACGCGTGGAGAAGTGAAGCCACCATGTTTGGACTGCCCAGGCCAACCAAGCAGACCACATGCCCCCGACAAGCAGAAGACTCCAGAATACGAACGTGCTCATCGCTCGCTGACTCGAAGGTGGTGGCCAAGCGTCTGTATCGGTTCACTGGAAATGAAGTCAGGATCTCCGCTGGCGAAAGCCGCTCACAATGACCTTAAACCGAAAGCCTCGGCCCCTGCCACGTTTGAGAATCGTGGGCTCATGGAGGCTTGCGCATGCATGCGAGGAAAGACGCTCACCGGCCTTGTGCCGCTCGATGTTCAAGATGGCCTGCTGCCGTCTGACGGCTCGGCCAAAGCAGCCCCGTCACGTTCCACCTGCATCGAACCGAAGAACCAACCCTGCGCATCCACCCAACCCTCCCAACCCCCCCACCCTGCACACCAACATTTCAACAGTAGGGGTGGGGTGGGGTGGGGTGGGGTGGGGTGGGGTGGGGGGGGGTGGGGTGGGGTGGGGGGGGGGGGGGGGGG